CAGTGTGGGTCTTAGAATTTTAGAAGTAAAATATATTTTTCATGTACTTTCAGATTGCCTTCCATAAAGTTTGCAAGACAAACCCCCCAACAGTGTGCAGCTCTGCTCTTTGTTCATATTTTCTTAGTGCTGGATGTGATCAATCAGTTTATTTGTTCCCAATCTGATAGGCTGAAGGTGAAATACCATTACTTTACTCGGCATTTCACTGCTCACTACTAAAGTGGAGAATGTTTTCATATATTTAGTTTTATGAATTAGCTATTCTTTTCTCAGTTTAGTTAAAAATTTAGAGGTTGAGCATGGTGACCCAAACCTATAATCTCAGATTTGGGATGCAGAAGAGGAGGAATATGAGTTCAAGGCCAGCCAGGGCTATGTACATTGTCTCAAACAAACACACGAACAAAATTCATAGGTTTCTTTTCTCAGTATCTATTGTGGATTCTTTAGTAATATTAGCTTTGGTTTCTTATTTATTTTGGCAATATATCCAAGTGTGGCATTTTGCCTTTTAAAACTAGTTGTAGAATTCTTTATAATGAGTTTAAGTTTTATACAGTAAACCTGTAATTTTTCCTTTATGCCCTTTAGGTTTTATGCTATGCTTGTAAAGCTTTTTCTACACTAGATTATATGGATATGCTATATATTTTTGGTACAATATTTGTATTCACTTATGAATTTGTATCTTTGATCCACCTTAAATTTATTTTGTGTGTTCATGTGAGGTAAACATTTAATTTCAGAAAACAATTTCCTTTAGTGAAAATCGGCCCATCAACTATCCTGCTTATCTGTGATCTAAATCAGCCTCCTGGAATTATGATTCAGATTCAAGATTCTAATGTGGACTGGTAGAGGATAGGTCGAAGTCATTCTCTCTCGCTCTCTCTCTCTGTTTCTCTCTTTCGTTTTAGAGAGAGACTTTGTTAGAATCAGTTGTAAGATCCCATAGGCTATTGTCTCCATGTTACCTAATCTTGGGTTTATGCATGAGAGGGATTAAAATATTTGCTGACTCAAATGAGAAAGGAATGTGGAGCTTAACACTTTTAATGCCCTTCACAGTTAAAGTAGGAGAATAAGATACACCCTATTCAACTTTATTTAAGTGGAGGAAGATCATGAGAGAGGAACAAGGTGAAAACAAGTTTGAGGCTTAGTTTTGTTCACCACCATGGCAAAAGTATTCAGGATGTTTTAACACAACATCTGCAAATCATTCAGCCCGGTATCTGGATATTGTATGCCCTTGTAACTGCTAACAGAAAATAATTATTCAATGCAGGTAAAGATACTCTAAGATGAAATCATTAAGGTTTTGAGAGGAGATGGCTTCATGTATGAAAGAAGAACCTGAACATCTAGTGAATACTGAATTTTAATGCTCTCATATGATTTTTTAACACTGCAGCTAAAAAAGAGAGCCTCATTTTTCACTGACATTGATAGTTGCTTCCTAAAACTAGATATAAGCCTATAAAAAATAAGGAAAAAGATGAATATTTGTGTTTATTTCAAATTGTAGATCCCATATCCCTAATCATTGTCTATCTGTACATGCTAAGTAAAAGCAGAGAAAAAAACAATTTATGAAATGCTATGACTTTAATATATGGTAGGATAAATCAATGGGGAGAATAAGTTTGAAGTGGCTGAAATAACCACCTTTGACTTGTTTGGCATTTAAATCTTTTGGGCTTGAGGAATCACTGATGCACCACTTTAAGGGGATTTGATTTTATAGGTTCCTTAGTCCAAGAGTTTTTAAGCATACAAATAGGGACTTGGCCTTGAAGATAAGACAGACATTCAGCTGTCACTGAAGCTGCTTTGCTTTTAAATGGCTTGTTCCCAAATTTTAATCTGTAATCCACTGCTAGAAAAGCTTTAGATTTGCAGACAGAGATGAAGGATGCTCAGGAGCTATTACCTTATAATAGAAATTGATAAGTGAGTAGACTATGGAAGTTTAGACCCTAATCTGAAGGGAAAAGGAGAATTGGATTGAGATAATTATCTTGCTAATACTGGACAAAACTTACATTCACCTCTAAAGAGTCAGATCCTTAATGTGAAAGAACAGATTCTTATTCACTTACATGATAAGTAAAAAGAAGTTACCAAAATTGTGAGGCTTTATTAAAATATTATAATTTTTTGTAAATTTTAATTTAAATACATTTAAAATGTAGCAAAACCTCAAGGATGAGAAAAATAGGCAAAAGCCCCCCTGAATATTATTATTTTAAAAGAAAACTTATCTTTCTGTTTACCACACTGAAGAGTTTACATTTGCCTCCAATACTAGGATCAAAGAAATGAGAAAGAAAAAGATGGACATTAATAGAGGTCATCTCAAATAAAACTTTTTTACTCCTCACGCACAGCCTGTGTCTATTATATTTGAAGTTGGGACAGAAGTAGGGATCAAATTAATTTGTGAAATGCTATGACTTTAAATAGCTATATGTTCAGATAAATTAACACAGAGAACTATACTCTCAAGGACTTAGCAAAATCTAATTATCATTAATATTCAAGTCTTTAGGCATAATCATTAAGTAATTTCTGCTTATTTACCACTATAAGGAAACTGATATCCCACTGGAAGCCTAATGATTTCCTCAGTGCCTTGTGATGTTTACTGAGTCAACCAGGTTTAACTTAGACAAGCAATAACATATGAATCTACCAAAAGGCCGTGCTAAGAGGCATCCAAAACCCTACAGAGGAGACACTGCAGGGGTAGGAAAAGAGTCCACAGTCCCTAAAAGTATATCCAGTGAAGCTTCAAAGAGTACAACTCCCTGTGCAGTTATCCTTATCTCAACTAGCAAAAACCCTTGGTCCTTCCTATTATTGCTTATACTCTCTCTTCAACAAAATTAGAGATAAGGGAAAAATAGTTTCAGCCTGGTAGTGAAGGGGGGAGGGGGAGAGGAAGAGGGCCAAGGGGTCAGGGAGGGGGTCGGGGGGAAGCGGGAGAAATGACCCAAACAATCGGGAAACATTTGTTGGGAAACATTTGTTTCCCAATTGTTTGGGAAAAGCTTGAGCATGACAAAAGTGTGGACTGAGCAGGAACACCTGCTACGTCAGTCTTCTCTGCATGAGGCTTCTTACCATGGCATCTTATTTTCAAATCACATTAAATCAGACAAATGAGTAAAGAAATACAGACACAAAGCCAAGTAATTATGTATGTATTTGAGAGCAAAATATAACATAGTAAGGTAAAAAGAAACATGATTTTTAAAAGTGGTCCCATACATTCATCCCATTGTTAGTACAGTCTTTGAAACTGACATTCTCTGAGAATATAAAGCATAGATATGTAGCAACTAAGATATGACTCCACAATATATTTTGCAATTTAAACAATTAAAATGCTTTAAAATTTGACTTAGAATTGCAGGATGGAACTGGAATTTTAAAAGTAATATGTATAATGTTTTAAAAATAAGAGACTTAAATTACTCTTCTGCATAGCTATATGGATATTCATTGATTTCTTAGTACTTTTTACTAATATATTCCCTGGGCCATTTACATAAATTTATTTTAACCCAAATGCTTCCAAATGTAATTTTTGAACTTGTTTTTATTTTCTTTATATTTCAAATGTATAAATGCATCCACTCATTTGTTCACTTATCCAACAAATGTTACAAAATGCTTATTTGCAGTCAAGCAGGAGTACTAAGTACTCCTTGTGCAATAGTGGGTGGAAATGAGCACTGTTCATGACTCATGTAGGTAAAGTCTACTAGGGGAAAACAGATATTACAAAAATCTCCACACAAGTGAATGAACAATTACAAGGTAAAGTAATGTAATGAAAAAAAAACATGATTCAGAAAAAACATGAGGAAAATGTCTCATCACAGGTATATGACTATGAATTCAGAATAAAGTGTCCAGTTATTAGAGTCAAGCACCAGAATATTCCCTATTAGTTTATATAGAGAAATGCCCTAAACAAGATAGGAAATCATTACAAAATTTAGAATGCACTGTAGATAGGATAGGCACTAGTGTAGAAACTTTGACCCCAATATCCCATCCAACAAAAAACCACATCTGTTGGTGTTAAGTGTGAAGAGAAGACATGATCAAGAATCATTTAAAGGAAGAAAATATGGCCAAATATCCTCAAAAATGTTTCTTTCCATGTAGTGATTACATCATTTCTAAAAGAAGTAGAATTTAGTTCAGAGTAGGTTTTGGTTTTGGTTTTGGTTTTGTTCTTGTTTTTAAACCACGTGGATCGAAGAGAATTTTCAATATGGCCCTCATATAAAACTCTGTATTTATTTATGTATTTATTTAAATTTTTTATGTGCAAATTTTGGAAGTTTTTATTTCAAAGAAGATGGAAAAATGAAACAATGTTAGAATGTTATTTAAATATTTAAATGAAGAAAATGTGGGGTCTACTTTTTTTTCTCCCAAATTCCAAACAAAAAGAGAGGGGAACTAAGCATTCTAGAATTGCTCATGATTTTCCCATTTACTGGTCATTACTTGTCCTATTTCAGGATCCCAGGGTTTGTGACAATTATGGTTCCTGTAATGTTTATGTTCTGAATCATTGTGAATAATGGCATAATACTAGAGTAATTCACTTTATTCTCTGGAATTGTAATGCATTAATAACATCTGCTAGTACTTACCTTTAAAAGACTTCCCAAAGTGTAGCAAGTTGAGAAACAGAAGTTCACACTAGCAGTAAGAATATGGTTTTAATTTTGAATGAAAATGATAGAGAAATTCCCCAGGCACCATGGCTCACATTTGCAATCCTAGCTATTCAGGAGGCAGACATCAGGAAGATCACAGTTCAAAGCCAGCCCGGGAACTATTTTCCTGGGCTGACTTTAAAACTCTCAATTTAAATGCATGTTCAAGAGAGTTGAATACATGCTTGTTTTTAAATGCTCCCCAGGTTTTGATAAGAGCTTATATGATGCTACCTTTTTTTTCTTCTAGGAGACTATGTGGTCATGTGTGTCTACTTTGATCTGAGCAGAAGAATGGGGTACTTCACCATCCAGACATACATCCCCTGTACACTAATTGTTGTCCTATCCTGGGTATCTTTCTGGATCAATAAGGATGCTGTTCCTGCCAGAACATCTTTAGGTGAGACACATTTCTTTATTTGTGGTGTTCCGAGATAAGCACCAAGTACAATCTTCATTTTCCCTTCTGAGGTGAATTGCTCTAAATTCAGTCAGAAATCAATTACACAGGAATATGTTTGTTTTACATTAAAGAAAACTAGTTTGTTTTTAAAGTATGTAGTTTCCTAATTCTATAGTTCTGTCTTTCTTAATTACCTCAATAAGTTTTCTTTATTATATTGTCATAATAAATTTTAAAAATCCTTTAATTTCAACAGAATTGTGTTTTGGGTTGCCTGGGAGCAACCTTGTGCCGGGTTGGAGCTGCTGAATATATTTAGACTTTCCCAGTTCGATGTTTAGGGATGTCACATAGGTAATTTGGAATGAGCCAAGGTGAAAGTATTAACAATATGAGAAAGGCAAACACTGTAAATTAGGGGCTTCTGTTTTCTAGAGACAATTTTTACACATCTCCCTGCATGCAACTTACTGTTGATTGATTCCCAGAAGCATAAATATTATGATATTTGAAGAAATTAAATTTTATAGAAGTGCCATCAAAAGCATTGATTTTGGAAAACAGATTCACCTGTGAAACTTTGGGAGCAAAATTATTTTTAAGATTATTTGTATTTGGCTCAGTCTGTTATGCACAGTGATATGGCAATACTTGTCTTAGGTTTTCACATCTTTGTCTTCCCTTGAGGGAAAAGACTACATAGACTTACATAGACCAAAACAAAGCCACAAACTCACAGGAATATTAGACTCTAGGTCCATGGATGAAACATTTATGCTGCATAAAAATTTAAAAGATTTAAGTAAGCATAAAGCAAAGGAAAAATGCATTATAAAACTTTAATTTTTGATGAGCTATGTGATTCTCTAAAACCACTCTACTTGCACACTCCCTGGGAGTTAGCAGTATCTTGTAATAAGTCAGAATTTGGGTTTTGAAGTCAAACTGTTGTGAATTTCCAGCCACACTTATGATATAACTTTTAAATGACCTCTATCCTCTCTAAATCATGGTCTTCTCAAATGGAAAACACAGAGCATTTCCTATATCTAACACTTAGGTATTAGATTAAATAAAACATGCTATACAAAACACATTGAACAGAGAAAAGCTTCAGAAAAGGTAGCTACTATAGTCATTTTCTGACAAAATGATCTATACTAGGTTATTAAATGGAGGGCATAAGTGATTACTGGAAAAAAGACATCATTTGCATATCTGTCCTCTTCCAAACCTAATTTAGTTTCCCATCTGTTTCAAAATGAAGTTATTTTGATTTTTCCTGCTATGTGCAGTACTTTGTGTTACAAGTCCTGTTCAACAATTCAAATATCTTGTCTAAAGCTACATGCTAAAACTAACTGAAAATACGTTGACCCTAATACTTTAGGATTCTTGTCACTGTGAGTGGAGTGTGCTGCATTACATCCTTATATGTCCTCTCAAATTAGAATGTATCTTTTTTGTCTCTAGTATAGTGCCTGGCACAGGGCTACTACATCAAGGATTATTCAATTAAGGTATATAGTTATGAATAGATGAGACAAAAGGATTGACATATTCTAGCCTACCATCTTCTGCAAAAATATTTTAAGGAAAATATTTTAATTGTCTGATCTCTTGAAGGCTGGACTTTTTCTGGTCAAAATCCCTTTTATGACTACTTACATAGCTCATTTCCACCACTCATTAAATGAATATTCATTAGCAAAAGACCATGTTGGAAGAAGGGATTAAGGGTGAGTTAAGGAATGAAAAAGAAGCTCCTGAAAATAGGAGGTAGGCACTCCTATTTGTTGATAATTTATAATTTAGCCATGCTCAAGATAGCTCCTCTTTCTTTTCTACTCTTTGCAACAACTGCATGTAGAAGTCGCAATGACAATATAACTTATCACATGTTTCAGAGGTGAGCTAAGAATGTAGAGGTGCTGCAAGGTTAAACAACTTGCATAAAGTCACACAGCCATCTGGTAATAGACCTGCACCTTAACTAATGGGACACAGATCCATTCTGGGTGTGAGACCTTGCTGACAGCTAGTGAGAATCCAAACTAAGCCAGTGTCACTATTTTAATGCTATTGTCTCACTCATTTCTCTAGATTAGTGCCTTTTAATTTAATTGCACATTTATATCAGCAAGAGAAATTTTAAGGTACAGATGACTTAGTCCAGCCCCAAGAGATGCTTATTGAATTTGTCAAGAGCATGGCCTGGAAATTAGGATTTTAAACAACTCCCAGGTGATCCTAATGTGCAGTCACCTTGTAGAATGCTGCTCTACGTTTCATTGAGTTTCATTATCTTTTCCAGTGTTTACAGTTAAGAGTTAAATGAGATGACCTTGAACGCTGCAGACTTTAAGCTTCTTGCCATGGAGCAGTTAGACCCGAGTTTGTTTGATGAGTTATATAAACATACCACACTGCTCAGAGCTAATGCTATTTTCTGAGTATAGACCATCAGAGCATGGCAAATGTCAGTCACTCTGAAGCTTAGACTACTTAGATGTAGCCTGGTGCATAGATAGTAGCTGGTGAGGTTTAATCACACTGCTATGACACTGAAGTAAAAAGATGAAAACACCAATTGGTATTTTTCACCCATGTAGCCTGAGTTGAGATAACATTGCTGAAAACTTACTTCATGCAGAGACGGGAGAAAATGGCTTACCATTTTCATCAAAGCTATAGGTATTTTTCATCAAACCTAGGTAAGAGAAGTCTAATTTCTTTGTTTAGCAAAACTGGTTGTAAAAGTCATGTCAAGCTTTCTTATTGTTGATTGGTGAATCAGGTAAAACCACCACTTCTCAACTTCTGTTCTTTATGTCATAGCTGTTTTCTTTCCTCTGGATGTAGGCAGCACCCTGAAAATATTATAAAACAATTATTCAAGATTACACATTACATGACTGTGATAAACTTCCATGTACCCTTAATGTACCATTTCCATTGGCAAAACAAGTATTGAATTTATGTGTCAGAATTTGTTTGGTTTAAATGATCATATGCCACATTTTCTAAAATGAACTCATCTGTGGTATTACTAAATATAATGACATTTTCCCTTGTAATAGGTCAAGTGAGACGTGAGGTCAAGTTCCCAATTTAGGTTTTAAGCTCTTCACAAAAATATGAGCTGCAGTTAAGTACAATCAAATTTCCAGCATGAATTAATGAGCAGATAGCCTAAGTAAGGGATTTTTTAGTTCAAGAAGTAGATCTCCTTTAAAAACAAATGATACTAATAAGTAACATTATTGAGATTTTACTAAATATTGGCACTGTGTCTTTTAGCTTTCTGTCACTATAACAAATACCTGAGCTAAATCACCTTGAAAGGAGGAAAGGCTTGTTTTGGATCCTAGTTTCAGAGGTTTTAATGCATGCTCTCTGGGCCCTGTTGCTTTGGGTTTAAAGCCACACTATATCGTGGTTTCGCAGTGCATGGCAGAGGAGGGCTGTTCATTTACGGCAGCCAGAAAGACAGAAAGTGAGCTTGGTCCCAATATCCCCTTCAATGGTCCATCCCCAAGGACTTAACTTCCTTCTACTAGATCCCACCTACTGAAGGTTCCCACACCTGCCAATATTGCCAAGCCACGGATCAATCCATTAACACATAGGTCTTTGGAGGACACTCCAAATCCAAACTACACTATACTATTTAATCTTTACAAAAGGCTGGATGAGGTTTCCTACTACTCTCCCATCCTCTACCTGCAGCTGGTAGGTAAGGAACTTGAACCTTCTGAAGGTCTGTCCATGACAAGTTAGAGCATCCCAAGACCCACAACACTTCCCTGTCAGGAATCTGCAATCGCGCCCAACTCTCTTGTGTTTCCTGATACATAGTATTCAAGTACTTTCATGGAAATAAAATGGCATGACTCAGAGTATAGCATTTGAAGTCATAGTCTACGTTTGTAGTTCACCTATATCACTTTCTAGCCTGGACAAGTTTTTTTTTTTTTTTTTTTTTAATTCTTGTTCAGTGTTTTTCACTGTGAAATAAAAGGATAATAGACACAGGAGGTATCACAGGGTCACTGTGAGGATTTTGTTGGATAATATTAAAACACAGTACCTGACTGAAGGAGTGAAACAGTTTCCTACAAATCATAAATATGGAATCCTATTCTCAAGAATAGATTGAGCCTCTTTGATCTTTTATATATATATAGTATTCACATTTTCTTTCCACAAATATTTATTGAGTCTCACCACTCTGTTCAATTCTGAGGTTACAATGATCATTGAGACAGATGTCTGTTGTTACAGAACATATAGAATTCAAAAGGAGATGGATTTTTCAATAGTCAGTGGCAGCAGAATGCAAGGGCTGTGATATTTATAACTCTAGTTCCTCCATCACTCCTCCCTCTACCAAAGCTCTTTCCTGTGAAGTTGTTTCAGCCAACACTGGTTTTCCCCTCTGTGGGATTTCATAAAACCATATGTACTTGAGAAACTTTGATGTTACCATATGAGTAACATGTGACCCAAGAGAGTCACATGTTCTTGGAAACACCACTAAACTCTTTAAAAATAGTCCTGACAAATAAAAACATAACAGATCAGGAAGAAATGTGACAATTTTTATCTTTTCTTAACTATTCCTCAAGTGTTTTGGCTCGTTCAGTCACCTTCTGGGCACACCATACCAGTAATCCACATCATAGATGCTTGTTTCTCTTTTCCTTTACGACTCTGCTATTCTACTCTGCATTTTCCTTCCCTTGTGCTCCCCAAATTTCCATGGCTGACTCATTTAATGTACTTTCTGCATCTCCATTTGAGTTAGGGGGCTGTGATTGCCTCCTAGGCAGTAGTCAATAGTAATAGGTCAACAGTAATAGTTACTTCGTACCGCTATCTTTTTTGCTTTTGTTTTTGAGATAGGGTCTCCCTACGTAGCCCATGCTGGCCTCAAATACATGATCTCTTGCCTCTACCTCCTCAGTGATGGGATTATATGTGTGCATCACCACACCCAGTCATGACATTAAATGACATTTGTAGATTTTTTTCTCATGAGAAGTACGTCACAAAACTGGAGATGGTAAAAGTGTAGAGCTACTTCTTTTTAGTAGAGAATGAGTTCACTACAAGAAATGCAGAATTACAGTCATAGAATTATAAGGTAAGGTGACCATTTAAAGACTTAGCTCAAAATTGAAGCCTAGACAGTTAAGGTGACTAAGTTCCCATAGCAAGAGCTGGAACTTATTCGAATGGTGAATCCATATTACCTGCATTACATTCAGCATAGCTTTTATAGAACCTCTGACCCTTCGGTGGCTGATACAAGCAAGTTGTCTTAATTTTGTTGCCTGTCATGAAACAGCCATTGGGGAGGACTAGTCTGCTTGGTCACTACTGAACAATGAGGAAAAGAAGGGTTTTGAAATTAGTAGTACAATTCCTGTGTTCAACTCCTTCTTCTGCTATTTTACTAACGAGGGTGTGTGGAGCTGGTCCTTCAGCCTCATCTTTCCAATCTTAAGGACAGTTTTGTAAACCACAATAAAAATATCTTTTGTCAAGATTCAAAGAAATAGTGTGCATTCACTGCTCATGTTAGTGCTTAATGCAAGGACATTTTCAGTTGTTATCTGACTTTTGAGATACTTATTTCATCCTACAAAGAAACATCTATCAGATCATGTCTATCAAAACTCCCACCGCCTCTTTTCAGTACTTTTGAATGATTTGTCATTGCCCCTTAAATAGAACCAATGCTCTGCATTCACTGCATGATATTCAATTCCACCTTGTATCTATTCTACCTTGACTTCCCTGCCCCTGCTCAGATGCCACACTCTAAAATCCATAGATAGAAAAGATTTTCTTTTCTCAGAACCCTCCCCTAACTTATTAATCATCAAAAGGTTGATTTCCTCTTACATTTGAAACTTCACCTTAAATATCAATCCCTCTCTATTTGGGGACAGGACAGTGTGAGTTAATTCCAATTATGCCTCCTTTCCCATTATCGAGAGATTGTTTATCACAAGTCACAAGTATAGTCTCGGTAGCAACTCAGTCACTCACATGATCAAGTGCTATCACATTACCCATTCATTGTGCCTTCTCCTCAGGTATCACCACCGTCCTAACAATGACCACCCTCAGCACTATCGCCCGGAAATCTCTCCCCAAGGTCTCCTATGTCACAGCAATGGACCTCTTTGTATCTGTTTGCTTCATCTTTGTCTTCTCTGCTTTGGTGGAGTATGGGACCCTGCATTATTTTGTCAGCAATCGGAAACCAAGCAAGGACAAAGACAAAAAGAAGAAAAATCCTGTATGTATTATTTCCCATTGGGGCCACTGAAATGTTTATGCAGGAAGACCACCAGGTTTTGGCTGCATTTGGCTTTGTTCCCTTATCTGAATGTTGAGGCTCACCCCATTGGGCTCCACGATGAAAACAATGCATGAATTTTGGTCAGGATATAAAGATCCATTTATGGTCATTAATTACTTGAGAGCCCCCTAAATCTCAAAGTCAGGCTCCTTATGCTAACATATCTACCTGCTGTCTTCGTGTTGTGGGGAGTGAAATCAATACTGAGGAATATAACGGTGTTCTAGATGATTTCCATCTTTCTGCCAAACTTACTATAATAGTTTTAAACTACCAGTGTTATAATTAAAACTTTCACTGGAGCTATACCACTAGAAAGCTACAGGCTCTTGACTTTCCAAGCATTCTCGTACTTTTGCAAATGATCAAGTGTGTGAGAGTGTGAGTGTGTGTGGATGTGTGTGTGGTGTTGCCACCAGAACACTTATATTGATTTCACACATAATGTGTGTCTTTTCATTTTTCAAACAAGTGGTTTACAATTGTTTAGGCAAGTTATTTAGCCTTCCTGTGTCTTTATTTTCTCATAGAGAAAATAAGATTTAATATTATTAAAGATAAATGTCTTATGGGGCTGTTATGAGAAATAAGTATAATGTATATAAACAAACAAACTACAAAATATCACAAAATGCACATGAGAATCTTCTCATTAGTAGTTGGTGATGGTGGTTGATATTGATGATTTAGGCAATGATTAACCTGAATTTCTTTCAGTTTCTATGTGATTTGGGAACAGGTAGGATGACTCTTGCTTGCACTAAAATTTAAATAGAGAGAATAGAATAAGGTAAAAATAAAATGCCTAAAAAATATTTGTTTTTTCTCTGGGTTTGAGGAGCTCATATACCCACCCACAATGTCTGGCTTACAGGAGCTCCGATGAAAGATAAGGTCCATTCCCCTCCAAGACAGGGACAAAAGTAATGTCCCTACTCGCCTGGATTTATAGCCTTCCCTGGTTTTCTGCTCTAAGAATAGTGCCCAGCTACCTGACCCATGGGTTTGGGGACTGAATTATAATGAGGGAATCTAGCTGATTGTAGGTCATTTCCTGATGCATCTTTAGACATCAGTAAAATTCTGCAAATGGCATGTATTTATTTGAATGTAAGACTTTGCATCTGGTAAAGAAAGAAGCATCACTATTCTTGATGATTAATAAAAAAGGAAATGTTTAATTTTAATTTCTCAAATATTTACTATGCTTTATGCAGTCCTTCCTTTTCCTGTTTTGCGTGTCTCTGCCTGTGCATTTTATTCCTATCCTTGTTTTATTTTCCTTGTTGTACTGTTTTCTTCTTTATTCCCTGTCCTTCACTTTCCATTTCATTCTCCTCCAAGATGATGGCTCTATTGACACCCAGCATTATTACCTGACAGGTGTTAAAAAAAAAAAAGGTATGAGGGACAGGCTTTCATTCAACTTCTTTAGAGTCCTTTAGAAAAGCTCTCTGGCTTATCAGCTATGTCACTGCAGAGTGGATTTTGTGATATGGATAGAAATAGTTGGATTCCTTAATCCAGAGTCATGAAAGCAACAAAAGAAAAATTAAAGCAAGAGCAGAAAAGAGATTAAAGAAAATGAGAAAATGAAATTGCCAGAGAATTTTATGCATTTCCCCTTTTAAGCCAATTTGTTAATTTATCAGAACTATTAGGAGCCTGAGTGTTTAATAAGTAGCTGAAATTTTATTTTCCTATATAATGTGCTCTTGGCTCAGGTGTCAAAGACTCACCTTATTAAGGCTTTTTTGATGACAATTAGAAAATCATTCATGATTTTTCTGAACAGGGAAAACAGACAATAAGAAGCCGCCTCACAACTGAACAGCACTGACTTTTGTAGTCAGATATTTAAGATTCCACTAGTAATCACAAAATCCCATTTTCCAATTTTATGTATAACCTTTGCCCTGAGCTCATTATTCTCCTTCTGTGTTTATAATTTCAGTTCATTTTACTTACTGTGTTTTCAAAATGTATTTTTAATTTATCTTATTTTGTTTTCTCTCTTTTTTTCTATTTTTCCTTCTTTTTATTAAAAAAATTGCGATTCTCTTTTCTGTCTACAAACCCAAAGCTTCTTCGGATGTTTTCCTTCAAGGTATAATGTTTTTGGAATGGAAACTCACTGCATGCAACTGCTGAATTTAACTATGAACGCTTCACATGGTTTTTTATTTATTTGTTTATTTATGAATAGACATTTAAGCATTGTCCCAAAGGGTAACACATTCAAGGGGAAAATTCTTTAGTTTTCTAAAGTTGATTCAGCAACTATACACTAACTCACATAGGGTTTGGTCTTACACTAAGCTCACAACTCTGAGGCCTATGAGATGTCACAGGTAATGAAGGCCTCATTGAACAGAAAGCCGAAACTGACCCTTTCTCTGCGGGTGAAAATGGGATCCAGTTTCACCGGCTATATCTACCATGTATGTGCATTTCTAAAACTAAAATTTAAGTCTATAAATTCTAAATCATAAATGGAGTTTTAAAAATTGTCATATAAGCTTAATTTATTTTATTTACCTGAAATATGCTTGTGAACAATACTGTCTTTAAAAGACTTTAAACTGAAACTTCCATCCTTTCTTTTTAGCATGCCCACCAGGTCTGCTGGCTTTATTAAATATTGATATGAGATTTCTATTTAATTCTGATAGCTGATTGAGCAGCTCTAGGATTTGTGCTCTTACGATTCTAAAGCTAACTCAGTCAAATTGATATTAAATAAACCCTTTAGATTCACTGAAATTTTAATATTGATCTGGCGACATAGATTAGATTAGCACATGGCTAATGAGTACTAGTTTTTCCTCAATGCTAAAAAGAGACTGACAAGTGGTTATATTCTTTTTCAATCTTTACTCATAAGAATGTAAATATTGATGACATTCTTTAGTTTCAAGCTGGTGAAACATAAACAAAATATTCTCATAAAAATCAAGAAACTATAAAATTTATGTATATTTCTGCATTTTGGATTAACACTAATACATTTGCTCAGTGTAACAGGGCTTCCTATTTGCCTATAAGTAAGCATGATGTAAAACTTGATTTCAAAATCAATGCATTTTTATTTCTCTGTTTCACTCACATGTAATACCATTAAATGGCTTCATGTAACCAACTTCACATCTAATAATTAATACAATAAGATTCCATGTAGTTTTTAAATCGTTAAACTTTGCTTTCTTTTGATGTTCAATATTCTTGCTATAGCAATTAGCTTGAAAATATTATTTTCAGCTGCACTGCTTAAGCTCAAAATTTGAAATCTGCAAATGTGCTCTTTCTAAGTTCAATTTTACCATTGTAGATCATGATGTCATAGCAACTTTCTGAGTATCCATTTTCAGATTCATCATCATATTGGTGACATTGTGGAGAGATAAGTCTCAGATTGCTCAAGGATCATTGACTTTGATCCTTTTCCTTCCCTATCCTTGTCTCAGGCTCCGACCATTGACATCCGCCCACGATCAGCAACCATTCAGATGAACAATGCCACTCACCTTCAAGAGAGGGATGAAGAGTATGGGTACGAGTGTCTGGATGGCAAGGATTGTGCCAGTTTTTTCTGCTGTTTTGAAGATTGTCGAACAGGAGCCTGGAGACATGGGAGGATACATATCCGCATTGCCAAGATGGACTCATATGCTAGAATCTTCTTCCCTACTGCCTTCTGCTTATTCAATCTGGTTTATTGGGTCTCCTATCTTTACCTGTGAAGAGTACAGTTTTTCTTGCTATGGGTCTTATTCACTGAATCTCATGGAAAGAAGATGTCCTTTCTAAGTCCACATAAGTAATCCTGTATGTGGTCACAGTGATCTGAATTTGTTTCTATGTCCTGACCTAAATGATATAATGTCATATTGTATGTGCCCAACTCTCCTTTAATTAGTGTAACTTTGAACTTCAATGTATGCTATGTTTCAAACCTAAAGGCAAAGTAACATTAAAGCAAGAACATTGAAACTAAGAAAGACCCTTTTCAGCTACAGCAACTGAAATAGAGCCAAGGCTTTTATAATTCTGGTATTCATAATACAGTTCCATACAATGGTCCCTATGTTCAGTTGGGTCAAGTTGAGGTAAATTTAAACAAAGTAGAATACCTCCCTCATTTTTGAAGACTCACAATTCACTTTAAATATAAAAGCTTAGACTAGAAATATACTATGCCTTTATCCCAAGATAGGAAAAAAAAGTCCTGCACATCACGTGTACAATGATGTAAATATCTCAATACTGTAGAATGCTTCAAGCTTCATGCATGCATCTCTTTAGAGCCAAAATAAATGGATTGAAGTTATCATCCTAAAGTATTGTCTTTTATTTTGTGTCTTTGGGCTATAAAAGAAAACATGAATGTAATTATAAGGATTTGGTTTGGAATTGGGAGGGAGGAAATTTTACTGGTTTCTCCTTCATGCATGAAGATACAGTTTATTTATGTTTCCTGTATGACAGATTGCTATACTTTAAGTAAAATAAAGGCTGAATAATTGACATTGCCAACACTAAATACAAAGTATAAAGTAATCTTATGTGTGTGCTGCTATATTTCCTTCCTTTTAGGATGATAGTTCTTAATAGAACTTTTTCTCCATCTTGAGATCTGCTTCTAGTGATTGTGAGTGCCTTGTGGGCAGAATCTTTGTCACTTCTTCTTTGGGTCCTCAGCACCTCGCATAGTGCCTGCATATAGTCAGTGCTCAAAAATACAGTTTGAGGTAAATTATCCTCATATGCTTCTGGTGACTCTCCCTATGTGACCTGAAATGAGTGATTCATCTTTTCACATGGGCATTGTCAAATGATGTTTGATCCTGTAGAAATAACTAGAGGATCCAAAGAACTCTGGCTATGATGTTTATCTTCAAAACTTTGTTTTAGGCAGTCTATAATCTTTTTAAAATAGTATCTATGTCCGAAGTTTGTGTGTAGAAATGATTACTTGGACATAGAGTTTTATTATTTTCTAGGCTTGGGTAGGCATCAGTCTTGATCCATTCAAAACACTGTTTGTGAATTTATGACAGGTATGAACAAGATCCATACCTGGCTGCTGCTCAGAATGTAGTATTTTATGTTATTAGAAAAACTGTACTGAAGATTAAACTAAAAACTGAAAGAACAAATGAATGACTTATATGGAGGTCAATGAGCCTTTGACAGTGGCATCATAAGATTGAGTAGGAATCAAACAAAGTGATTGCCTCAGACTTCAAACATGACAGGTTGTGTGCCCTGTCTTCATATGCTCATCCTGAATCCTTATTTTTCTAAAATAGCACCTTTTGTCAGTTGTTCTTTATGGCAATCATTTCTCTAAGTCAGAACTTAGTCATAGGAAATGTAACTTTATAGATTATCTAAAAAGAGTTAAAAAAAAAAAACAGAGAGTGGTTTTGTTAATATAAAACCCTGTAATGTCAACATCAATTCATCTGGATGAATCTTGAAATACATTTAGCTGCCAATTTTACAACCTTTAATATATCAGTACTCTAGTATTTAACCGCAAACAAATGTAAATAGAATAAATTATTTTCTTGTTTTAAATTGTCAAGATACTTAATGTTGACTCTTTGGGAGAGTTGTTGGCAAATTTCAATGGTGAGAAATGTGTTATCATTGTCAACTTGAAATGTGTTCTGTAATGAGGACACTAAAAAAAGCTAGTTCCCAATGTGTGCACAGTATTGATAATATGAATATATATTCATTATATAATCTACTTCTTAATTATCGGCTGCTCCCTGTCTATGTATTTGAAAACCTTTTCACAAAGAGAATTGCCTAACATGTGGACTTTTACAATAAAAATGCTCTATTCTAATCCATGGTGGCATCTCACTGGTCTGGTTGCATTGTTTTTCTTAAGGACTATCAACCTCTTTCCTGTCTCATTCTCATACATTCCCTTCCACTAAGCTTTATGTGTTAGCCTTCTGTCCATGTTTCACATAGCAATTGTCTTCACTTCAAAAGAACTAAGATGGGTGTTTGAAGTTAGAGTGAAGAAGGAAGGCAGAAATGTTAATGAAATTAATAAAAACTCAAGCCTTCTACCCTCAAAGTCATTTGAAGTGCTTAAGAATTTGGACTCTGATGTCACAAAGAATTGGGATTCCAAATTTACCATTCACTTCCTCTTTTTGTCAGTTGCCAACTCAAGACTTTAAACATCTCCATTTTGCCAGCCAAAAGTTAGTATAATGTAGTGACAGACAAAAACAGTGTTTCCTATGCAACGAGTCTCCTTCCACACCAACCAAGTCAGCCACCTGAAAGAATCAAGCAGTAACCACATGTGCCTGAAGGTGATACTATGACATAATGCTTTATTTTTAAGCGGGATCTGCATTGTAACTCTTGTTTTAAACTATACGTTGGAAATCCAGGTCTCTTGTTGGGAAAAAAAATCCTACACATCATATTAGTTGAGTTTAAGGCCCAAATAACCCCAAAGAATTGCACTAGAAAATTTAAAAACACAGAGACTGGATTAGCCTGCTCCAGAGACAGTGTCATATTTTCTTGAAGCTCTTTAAAATTCTCCAAGGAAGAAAGTAATACAATCCTTCCCTAACAGAGCTGCCCTATCCTTCCTCTGCCTGTCATTCTCTTGGCCTCTTGTGGCTTTCTGCATTCAATTTAAACATCTATTTCTCACCTCCCTGATATGTAACCTTTTCACCTGGGTCTTGTCTGTTGTCTGACTCAGGGCCTTATCTTTAGTCCAGTGCATATTCATCATATAGCCTGCATCCTTCTTGTCTCAATGTTATTCTGACTAGTAAAAGCATGTTTGTCTGTGATAAAGGTCGAATTAAATTAACCAAATGACGTGAGCTGTGGGGATTATGTCAAAAATTTCTATCTCCATTCTTTGTCACTTTGGATTTTTGTCAAAGGTGTAGGAGGAGAGAAATGAATTATACCAATGGCTCTGGTAAAGTTTTAGTTAACTGCCAAAGGTCATGTGATTAGCGAATGGCAGGTTGAAGAGACTCATCTAAAGCATTGTTCTTTAAACTGTGCCTAAGAGTGTTTCAGGATTTGGAAGCAAAATTCTGGAGTACTTTATCTTTCTGTTAGTTCTCAGAAACTGTCACACTTGTGAATTCCTTCTCTTTGATTTTGACCTCACGTTGATTCTTTTCCTTGTAATGACACAAAGATTTTAGAATACCTAATAACAGAGATAAATCAATAGATTTTGCATTTCCTTTGTCTATAGTAGGTGGTGATCAATCACTATTCAATATTATCTCTGCTGCTTTTAAATTCTTTTCGAGAGAGGGGTTCTTCATGGTCATCTGGAGAGTTCCAGACTTAGAGTTGGCCTTGTCCCTCAGCCATGGGGCCAGAGAACACCAAAGAGTTTCTGATGGTTATTCTCTGCAGGATAATTTCTTCTGTAGTTTTAGTAAAGCGGTGATGAGTGATCTATTGTTATTCTTTTCAAGATTAGAGATTATAGGTCAATTAAAAATCTCTATAATTGTCTCTTGGCATATTTTGAATAATAAAGAAAAATTTCCCCTAATTACTGTTTGCATAACAAAACAGAGAAGCAGAAGCTACTGCTCCAGATCACCTAGGTTCAAATTCTGACTCTGACAATGCATGTTTTGAAATTTTTGCTTGTTTGTTTGTTTGAAACAGGCTTTCCCAATGTACCCCAAACTGCCCTGGAACTCTCAGTCATCCTGCTAAAGGCTTCTAGGTGCTGGGATTATAGGCTTGTACCACCACGGCCCACTTAGTGTTATTTGCTTTTTATGTACCTCAGTTTCTTCACCTGAAAATGGACATAATATTTGTACATATTGCATTACTTATTACAAGGAATAATGAATTTAATTATCACAAAATGAGTGTTAATTATTTTCCTTAACATAATATGAAACTTCACAAAAGATAGGATATAAGTACCATGCCAATCTTTCTTAATCATGTTTATTATCATGTATGAGTGCTCTCTTTCCTCATTAAAAAAAAGAAAAAGGCCACTGGACCATGGGTAGCATGAGAATTTCCCTAAATGGCCTTATTGAAGTGTAACTCAATTTATTACAGAGGAATGAATGGGTCAGACCCTTTCTCTCCCGGCAGGATTTTGTCCTCTCTCTTCTGTGCTATTTATTATGATCTGATGTTATTGATTACCATCTAGCATTCAGATTCTATTAAACCCTGTCATATCTCCACACAGCTACATTGGCCCATTTGTTCTATTTCTTCCTTAGTCTTCTAAAAAAATGTGCCATATACCCTGAATTTCTTTCTCTGCTAAACAGATTCAAAAGTCCCTCATTAAAGACTCTACCTGGTCCATGACGTACTTTCAGTTTTACTAAAGTACAATATGCTATTTTCTTTTATCTCTTCCAGTACTTCATATGATTGTAGAGAAGTCTAAGCCTAATGTTTACCTCATCTGAGTACTTAACATTCCTCTAGTCATCTTAGTAAATAAATTTTAAATGAACAATGGTGTGACAAGAATATGATATAAATAATTCACTATCCATTTGCATCTTAAATCAGGCTTTTATCTTCTTATCTAACTCTCTGCTATATAAATTTGCTTCATTTTTTTTTCTGTTACTTGTATGTGTTATAGGTCTAGAATGAAGTCTTTTATTAAAAAAGTTTTGATTAAACACCTATAAAGCTGATTCAATAGAAAGCTTTCAGTGAAACATACTGCAGGCTTCATGGAAGACACTGTGAGGGTAAGAAGACAGTAATTTCAGGAATTCTCTGCCTTAAGATGTTTGTAATATAATACCAGTAAAAAAGAGCAATGCAAGACAGTGCAATTGAGCTGCACATAGCAATTGAGTAGAAGTTGTTATTACACTTATGAATAAACCAGCAAAGGGTTTATTACATAATACAAATCATCTCACCATGTTGGAGGTCCTATCACTGTTTTAGATCTTCCTTCTTGATTATTAATGGAAAACTTGTAGAAAATTTGCAAAATGTGAAAACTACAATGAAAAATATTATTCTTAATCCATAATGACTAGCAAGAGCTAGTCATTAAAAATATCATGTCTTTTCTCCATATATATATATATATTTAAATACATAGACTAGATAGGTAGATGACAG